CATACGTATGTAAATTCATCAACTCGATCATCTATGAATATGCGCATACATCTAATATTGACCATTTCTACTGACATTAATTTTTTGAATATCTCGTGTCGCTTCCATTAATAATAAATACTATATCATATTTATATATTTGCGAGAATTAATATCGTCCCTGTGTAAATTCGAATTGTTATCGAAATATATCGATGAATGATGCGAGCGTGTGAGTGTGATTGTCTTTTGCCGTCAGCTAAACAAGTGAACACTTGGTCCGCGTTTTTAGTAGTTGATTTCGAAGCGTCGTTCTGAACGTACTGATACATGCATTTCTAATCAATTACATTATCGCCAATTCTTGTTCTATTAATTAATCAAATAAACTCTGACACGAATTGAAGAAACTCTTGATCGAGAAATGATTCGTTTAACATAAGTTGAAAAACACAAGTACGTGGATGTTAGGAATACGATAAAAAACAACGAGTTTCCAGTAATTTCGATAAGCTGGCCAAGTACGTGTGTATATCTACGTACATAAGTATGTAGATGTTACGTTAATTGCAAGTAACGTAGCCGGGGAGTTACGTCACCGGGGAAACCCGGAAAGGCTAGAGAGAGAGCGGTATTCTTCCGACGAATATTTCCGATATTAGTATCCCCGCGTGGCGCAAAAACTATAATAGAAGGAAGAGCTGTTTCGTCGAAGGACAAGATTTTTGCGTCGGCGTGCGCTGCCGTTAAAACGACAAATTACCCATCTTGTAGTACAAGGTTCCTCCAGCTAACCGATAGAGTGAAGATTTCCGAAGCAGGGAGGAGGGCAGATACATCCCTTCCAACGTTCCGTGGATTCTTGCCGGACAGATTTGGTGGGAGAGACACGGTTGTCGAGTGGGAAACTCGGCGAACCCATCGCGCCGCGGAGGGGAAGTGGATTGACTTACGAGAGATTCTTGCACAAGTGCTCGTAATGCGTCGACGAAAACCTCCCGCAAAAGGATTTACGACATTACTTTCATTCTTTCTCCACCAGATTCTGTCCGGGCCGATTCGTAACGGTTCGCCGGTGTGCTTTTCGCCGTCAAACAGGAATCACAATTATAATACCTGCGTGTACTTGCTGTGTGCATACTTGCTTACTTGACATTAGTTGTCCGTTGTCCGTTTCTGGCGAGATTTAATTAACCACGCTACGAGACTACCAGGCTCACTGCTTAGAATGACAGTTTTGAAACCGATGTGT